GCAGTGTGGGTTGCTAAAAGCATCAAGACAAACAATAAGAATTTTTAAATACATCCAAAACAGTAAACCAGTACATCCAAATGTGGCCCGCCCATGTCTTTAATCGGGCCCGCGGTTCTTCCCATCCCCACCCCACCCCGTCCCCACCCTTTGAAGCTTGAGGCTGCCGAAGCTTCCCTCCGTCAATGTTGATAAATGTAATGTGATGCACATTGGAACAAAAAAAATCCCAACTTCAGGTATAGGCTAATGGGGTCTGAACTTGCTTGAGACTGAGAGGGGAAAAGATCTTGGGGTCATAGGTGACAGCTCAATGAAAGTGTCAACCCAGTGTGCTGCAGCAATGAAAAAGGCAAACCATGTTAGGGATTATTAGGAAAGGGATTGAGGATATTGTAACGCCCCAGTATAGATCTATGGTGCAGCCTCATTTGGAAATACTTTGTACAGTTCTGGTCACCATATCTCAAAAAGGACATGGCAGAGCTGGAAAAAGTACAGAGGAGGGCAACCAAGGAGGTTGGAACACCTCTTCCCTATGAGGAAAGGCTGAAGAATCTGGGAAAGAGATGACTAAGAGGTGACATGATAGAGTTTTATAAAATTATGCATGGGATGGAGAGAGTTGACAAAGCAAAATTGTTTTCCTTCTTCCCAAAATACTAGAACACAAGATCATCCAATGAAACTGATGGGCAATAGGTTCAGGACGGACTTTACACAGACAGTGATTAAAATGTGGAATTCTCTGCCAGAGAATGGCCACAGAAATAAACAGCTTTAAAAGGGGATTAGACAGATTCATGGAGGATAATTCTGTCAGTGGCTACCAGCCATGGTGACCAAGGGGAACCTCCACATTCAGAGGCACTAATCCCCTGAAATCCTAGAACCAGGAGGGCTCGGCCTCTGTGCCCTGTTGTTGGCCTTCCAGAGGAACTGGTAGGCCACTGTGTGAAACAGGATGCTGGACTAGATGGACCCTCACTGGTCTGATCCAGCAGGGCTCTTCTGATGTTCTTAAGGAGGGGGGCCGAAACTGCACCAAAGCCTCAGAGGAAAACTGAAAGTTTCTCTGAGAACATAGCTCTCTCTAACTATATAGCAGAAATTAAGGCACATGCACTGAGATAGCATAGGGTGCATCAACTTTCAATTTTCTCTTTAAGTATTGGGAATATTTGCAATTTTGTTTGTACAAAACTAAGACATTTAATGTCCATAAATATGTCAAATATTGTGGTTGTATATGCTAAGTTATAAATGATGCATTTTGTGTTAAAGCAGTAAAATAAAATCAGGTTTGATAGGATTTTAAGTATTGCATATATTTCCGTTTCCCCCCAAATTTCCAGAATTTTTTTCTCTATTGAGAGACAGCGTTTTCTTCCTCTCCCATAATACTAGAAATCAGGGACGCCCGAATCAGTAATCAAGTTGTGGAATTCACTGTCAGTGGAAATAGTGATGGACGCAAATGCTTTAAAAGGATGTTGGACAAATTCATGGAAAAAAGGTCTTTGGATGGCTACAGGCCATCGTGACTAAAGAGAAGCTCCCATCTGTGGAGGTGGCAATGGCAAACCTTTGGATGCCAGTGCTGGGAGGCAGCAGTTGGGAGAGCTGCAACCTCTGTGCCCTGTGTGTTTGGCCCTCCAGGGCTATAGGCTGGCCACTGTGTGAGACAGGATGCTGGACTAGTTGAACCAGTGGTCTGATCCAGTAGGCTCTTCTTAAGTTCTTATTCTCTGCAGTCTAGGGATAATGCTTGTACAGGAACCTGGCATTAGTTGTTCAGGTTCTGTTGTTTATCAGACTTGTGACATCTTCAAATGCATCAAACATTAACAGAGGTGTAGAAAAATGTGTCTTCCACAAAACTTGATAAACAGTAGAGTAGCCTGCACACATAGTTTCTACGTAAATGCCAATGTTTTTCAGGTGTGAATTTTGTCTGGATTAGGTATACTGCAGGTAGCTATATCAGGAAAGACACAGAAGGTTATGCGATTTGTTTTCCATATCCTTGATGAGAATTGAGATTAGGCTGAGCAAATAATGCTTCAGTAATCAAAAATGACGACAACTGGGTGTTGTTATGAAAGAAAACATTGAGCTTGTATGGCAATTAATTTTTCCAGTCAAATATCCAGTTCGGATATTTAAGAGGTTTGGTAGCTTCTTCAGACATTGAGTTATTCTGAACAGCTAAGATGGTTATTGCGGTATATTGGGAAATAAAGAACTTCCTTGTATGAAAGATTGGTTTAATTGCATTTGGAGTCTAGCGTTATTAACTAAATAAACATACCACCAAAAGATGCAAAGAAACAATTTACAGTGTACAGATAGGTTTTGTGAATGCTGGGCAATTTGTATTATGTACTAAAATGAAAAAGTTACAGGTAAAACATATCCTTTTGCTTTTTATGATTTGTAACCTCCCTTGTCTTCTCTTTGTAATAAGCTATTAGGTAGTATATGCAGTAATTAATAAGTCTGGTTTCCAGCCACCTTGGTTTTCACTTTCAACAAAGGGGGTTAATAGGTTGCTTTCATGTATCAAGGTTTACTTCAAGCTCTAGACACTTTAGCCCTGTGTTTCTAACATCTGTCTGGATTACAAGTAGGCAATTGTAAATAAAACCAAGTCTCTGACAAGATGGGCTACAAGATGAAGGAAACTGGACACTGGTATAAGGACTGAGAGACACCAGCACCAATCTCTTTCAGTAAAGTGTTGTGGGAAAATGTAAAGTAAACAGTAAGGTTTTGTGGGAAATGTAAGGCAACAATGAACTTGCACAGCTCTCTTTCGGAACATTACACTGAAAGATTTATAACACATAATGGCAATTTTTGAGAAACTTGGTGGTACCGGAATGTCAAACCTGTGTACTGTACTCGGGCATTAGAATGGTCAGCATCTGAGAGTTACCCAGACTTAATTGTTCACTTGGGTAGTTTAGCAGATTCTTGAACAATGAAAATGTTGGCCTGATTGTTTTAGGCAGCGGGGATTGCAATTAGTAGCCATTACCAGGAAAACACGTACATTCTGTGCGAGGACGTCATTGGGTACCAAAAGCCTCTTTGAGCATGTCGGCATTGTTCTTATTTGGGTTCATCGACACCACATTTTCTGAACAGTTAAAAATGATACATTCTAAAAACTTAGTATTAAGAACGGTAGCATTTTCTTAAATGCCATACTGTAGGGTTACTGTTGTGTTCACTTCTGCTGCATGCGTTGAGTGCAGAGCTGCATGAGAGATCCTTTTGCAAGGAGCTCTTACAATTGTCTATAGCTGTCATGCCTTGACTGAGCTGCCTAAATTCTTGGTAAAGAGATCTCGTCTTTTAATATGCCATTGTCAAGTGTGGTAGTGCATTTGAGATGTTCAGCTGTCGAAAGCCGGGCTCCCCTGTGCGCTGTAGAGGGTGATGGGCTTTCTCTTGCGTTGTGCTGAGTCTCAGCCTGCTGTGTGGTGGAATCGTGAAACTGAAAAACAGCTGCTATCATGTATCTACATATAAACCTCCTCACGACATCAGGGGAGTGCACTCAAATATTTTGCCCATTTTTGGCCTTGGTCATTGTTTGCCTTGTACTATTTTCTCTTCACTGCTCAGGGGCACAGAGTTTTCATGTACAATAACGGAACAAAGGAAAAAGAGTATAGCAGGCTCATCTATATAGCTAACCATATAAGTATAATGTAGTTTTATGTCCCAGCAGAGACTCCAGTCATGCTAGGAATATAATTTTAACCTTGTGAGAAACTGCACAAAATGTGTTCTTATTTTCTAAGAGGGTATCTAAAGCCACAAATTTATATGTACTTTTATCATCTGGGAAGTGTTTCCACTTGTATTCTTGAGCATAAAGGCTGCTGCTCTTCTGTGGTTCTCGCAGCCTCATTCTCCCTACATGCATGATTGCTGCCAGTTGCATAAGCAGTTCCTGAAGGAATTAACGTTGACTCCATGTCCCTGCGGTAAAACTAGAGGGACCATGGTGTAACAAGTCCAGTCTCTGTGTCAGGATCAGCCATTATTAACTGGTGATGCAAGAATTTTCGGTGCCCTCTTCCTGTGCGTTTTGGAATGCTTTTAAGAACTTGCTATTTTTTCAGTTGCTGGATTTTATATGAACTTTTCTTTTAAAGTGTTGGTGCCTGGTGAGATCTTGTCCATGGGGTCGCGAAGAGTCGGACTCAACTGTGCGACTGAACAACAACAACAAATGCACCATGTTAGAAATATTGTTGAGGTGAAATGTGGATGAGTGTACAGGAATTGGAGTTGGAAAGGAAGTTACTGGGATCTCAAGTGCTGTTATGTGTTGTGTCCAGTGGTGCTCCAAAATACAGGTGGTATTTTTTCACCTGTTTACATCAAACATTAGAACCCCACCTACAGTGTTGTGACACAAACTGTATTGGGAACTCCCTCTACAGCTCGTCATGCAGCTTTTGGAACATGAGGTATTTGAGAAATGCCAGTTTAAAGCTCAGTTTGCTGTATGCAACTGTTAGAACAGTTGTGTCCTGCCAGCTATCTGTGTCTTAATGTACTGATACAGAATTAATGGAAATTTGAAGCGTACATGTGCACTTGCATGCATCTTTATAATATGTGCTATGAGACTATAGCTATGATACTATATAAACATAACTGAACTCTCCATTAAAAACTATAGCTATGATACTATATAAACATAACTGAACTCTCCATTAAAAACTAAAGAAATAGTAAAGGATTTAAATCTCAGGAAGAGAAATCAACATAGAGAATTTCCTAAATAGTTAGACAGCGAGAAGTACTTCTAGAGGTATCTGTAGAGTTTCTTTTGGAAGTTCTGAAAAATATTTTGAGTTAGCTGTTCGGTTGTTGAAATGAGATAAATTAAATTAATGTCCTATTAATAGTATGCTTACGCTGATGTTATGTTCCATAATGATTTAAATTCATGTGTTTGTATGTTTTTTATTTCACAGTTGGAGACAAGGTCCCTGCTGATATAAGAATTACTTCTATAAAATCTACAACTCTAAGGGTAGACCAATCAATTCTTACAGGTATGTGGTTTTCGGGGCTCTCTCCGAAAATGTTTGTTTTTAGCCAGCAGTTGAAAACAGATTAGAAATAAGGTCCTGATTACAGCAGGGTCATGCTGTTTAGTCGACTATTAGATGTTGACCTGGTGAACAAAAGCAACGCATATTGCATTTGGGTGCGGACATTACACTTGCTCTCAGTATTTGACTAGCACACCTTCATAGGTCTTGTTAAACTAAATATCCAAAATGCTGAGTTTGGCTAGAATCTGGAATGAACAAGATGTGCCTGTTTCTTATAATCTTGGGGTAATCAGTTTGTACTGTAGGAAGTCATATTGAAATCAAGAGAGAAACTTTCTGGCTAACTTCCCTCAGTAAATTGCAGATATTACTTGTAAAATACAACTTGTGCAACTTGTCTACAACAAAGAATTACAGGGAGGGGGAGAACTCTTCCTTCCTTCCACTTTTGGTTGGTTCACTTGACATCATTGACAGACTGTCAAAAATAAAGGGCCCAGTGGGAGCATATATGTGCTCTTTCCTAATAGACTTCACCTTGGGTTTCCTTGACAGTGCTTGCTGTTCATCTAAAAAAATGTTTTTAAGAGTAATGCTGGAGTGGAGGCTTTTTTGTATTCTGACCTAGTTGCTGCATTAGTTTTTTTTATTTGACATTTAAAGGCAAGAGTAATGTGCTTGCTTTGTGGAATGTAGGTCAAATGTAGGTTCTTACCCAGAGAAACAAAAAAGTGCATGAACCATTGAGGCCTTGCAAAGCCAAGGAGAGATGTGCATCTGTTAATTCCCCTTCTTGGTCAGTGGATTAGAGTACATGTTGGTACTAAATATAAACATTCAGAAAGCAGCATAGCCAAATGGATTGGACCTCAGGGATCGAATAGATCTTTTAAAAATACTACAATGGCTTGAACCTGTTCTAGCTTACTTGTAAAGTATTCAACACAACATAAACCCAAGCCTGTATAGAGTAGGACCTACAGGCTGAGTGTCAGCCCCATTCCTTATTTAAAGCTCTTTATGGGAATTCCAAATGTCTACTATTTGCAGTCCTTTTCCTTTAACATCATGGAAAGGCCTAGGACCATTAAAAATGTAGGTGGGAATGGGAGAATATCTGCTTTGGTTCTCGTCTCCTTGGCACCAGTTTAGAGGAATCTGTTTTAGCTAGCCAGCCAAGTTTCATGGTCTATTTCTGTTGGAGATTCCCTTGCTGATGTGAGTGGCTGGGAGTGAAGCTCTTGTGTGCTGTTGCCTCTGAATTCAGTTAAGGCTTTCGGGATGGGAAGAACAGGTGAAAAAGAGGCTGAAGGGAGAAAAGAGCAGCGGTAACTGGCATGGCTAAAAGCCTGTAGTGGCGAGGGAGGGAATGTGTAGAGAGAAGAGAAAGACGTGAGAGAAAAATTGAAGGATATGGTAGTGGTGCTTAACAGTGGGTTAGAAAGAAAGCATTGAGTTCAAAGTTCTACTTGACAAAATTTTGAAAACAGATTAATCAGTTTTAAGTTCAGGAAATGTAAGGGAACAGTTATTTACCATGTCAGTGGGTACCTTACTACTGCGAAGGTGTGATGCATCATAGGCAAAAAGGTCTGGATCCTGTAATGGCATGTTTTCCCATGTATAATTTGGGAGATGTTTTTCAATATAAGATCATTGTGGTTACTGGGTCACAGTATGGATCTTGAGTTTTGCGTTTAGTTAATGATACAGACGAAAAGGTCCAAGTGCAATTTATAGAGGCGTAATTCTTTGGACTGGAACCAAGCAGGGTCCTTCCATCAGCAGGAGTGCGCTCTTAGACCCCAGCTCTGTTTCCTGATGGCAGCCTACGGCTGAGGTCCCCAGCATGGTGCCTGTGGGTGCCATGGAGCCCACCAACAACTTTCCTGGCACCTGCAAAGAGTTTTTAGAAAGTGGTCAGGCCAAGTGAGGCTTTTGAACCCAGCAGGGCTTCTGTTTGGCCACCGGGTATTCGGTTGGCTTTGCAGAGTTTTTAAAATGATTGACCTCTGTTAGTGTTTTGTGTGTCGTGACCTGCCCTGAGCCCACCTGCAGGGGGAGGGTAAGATAGACATCAAAATAAAAAAATAAAATGTCGCTTTGGCAACAGCTGCCACCACAGCACAAGGATCTTCATTGTGTGACTGAAAGTAAGCTGCGGCAGCCATTTTGTAGCTGGCTTTGCCTTTTGCAGCAGCTGTTTTATGGTAGCTAATTTGTGGCTGCGCCCACCATGCTGTTAGAATTCCAAAGGTGCCCGTGGTCTCGAAAAGGTTGGGCGTCCCTGGCCTAGAAAGTGATGGCATAGCATTGACAGCAACACCGGGTCTCTGTTTAAGTTATGATGGGGAAATTTAGCTAAGAGACCATTTGCTTAACGGGTGTGCAAGCTACTCCAACTATACCTCAGTCAGTCTGTCTGTGTCTCACTCGCTCTGTCTCTCTCTCTCTCTGTCTATCTATCTGTCTCTCTCTCTCTCTCACACACACACACAGAGAGAGAGAGAGAGAGAGGAAATAAAAGAGGTGAAGCAATCTTAAAGAGATCAGAGACAAAAGAGGGTGAAGCTTTGATGATGATGATAGGGTTTATAGCTTCCTGTCCAGATGTGCAGACATCCATGGAGAAGGGATTATGGCCCAGAGTTTGGGGGTGAATTGCCATTTGGCATCCTGGGGCAGGCACACACTCTGAGGCCATGTACTTTTGAGGATATATACTGGAGCTGGCTGAATGGGTTTGATGACCGATGATGGTCCTGCCAAGGTAGGTTGAATAGGTTCCCAGATTCAGACTAAAGGTGGGAAATGGGTCCCTGATAGGCACTAGGAAGGATCGCTAAACACTTGAATGCTTTTTTATTGATTTATGCTGGTAGTGCATTGGCTTGCGTATTTGTGTTAGTATCATATGTGTTATGGGGAGCAGATTTCCCCCCTCTATTTTGTTTTGGAAGGCAGTTTTTGTGAATGGCATGTTTACTTACTTTGACAGTCATTTCCAGATGCTTCAGTTGTTTGTGTTCCTCTGATGACTACCATTTAAAACGATAATTTCAATCGTAATGGTATGTTTTTAAAATTGCATTCCATGGTTAATGCAGCAATACAAGCTTCTTTTAGACAGTACAGATATAAGATCGGCCTTTGATTTGAGTTGTGCGTCCCTGCAGTAACTGACAAACTCTTCTTGATTAGTAAACATCTTAAAACTTTCATTCAATTGTGCACCAAAATTCCCAGTTCCCTATACACACGACAAGTCCATAGATCCAATGCACATTGCATGCTGGAGGTGATCTTTGTGAAATGGTTGCCTTCTTTAAAAGCTGGCTTTCATGATCAAGGGAAGCAATTCCAAAATCATTAATTTTTGTCCGTGGAAGAATAATTCTCACACTTGAATGATAAGACTCCATATAGACACTGTATTCTGATGGAGCAGTTTTAATAGCTGCAAAATGTTTGAACTGTGGGGAGAGGCTTAATATGACTAAAAAGCTGTAACCTTTTATCTAGGTGAATCCGTATCTGTAATCAAGCACACAGACCCTGTGCCTGATCCTCGTGCAGTGAATCAGGACAAGAAGAACATGCTCTTTTCTGTAAGTGAATGATTAAACACATGTGTGGGTGTGCGCATTATTGAGGGACTAGTCTTTGGCTTTCTTCCTAGTGGCGCTTTTAACCAGCCTTCACCCATTTCATCTAGGATAGGTGATGTAGGAAGTATTTACAATATCTTGTTATATAAATGATTACATTTTTGTGGAACTAAATGAGCAAAGTTAAAGTAGCATGTAGACATAGTCTTCAATTATAGTAAACTCCCGAACACTTAGAGCCATTCATACAAAACAG